CAATGAAGTAAAGGACTCTCCTCCTCTTAAACCTGAATTTTCATCTGTCAATTCACCAACCAGATATGCTGGATTAGCCAACTCTATAGAAATATTGTGCTATTTCAGCCCAGATTACTAAAAACCTGCCTTATTAATTTTAACCAATCACATATTCATCTATTTTTATGTTAGTTGTTATTTAGTAACCTTAATTCCAAGGATGCAATTAAGCATTTAGGTGTCATTATTCTACTAAATCTAACATCTTATTTGCAAGACAAAAAATGTTAACTGTCTGCTCTAATTAACAAATCTAATCTCTTTCACTATTAGTTGTTAGAGAGAGAGAAGTACACTTTAATTATGTTTACAGAATCACTTATTGTCACCCATCTCAAACATCTTCACCTCCATATTTTGATATTGACTTATATCATAATATTTACATCTAAGATTCAACATTCTTATGGAAAATCTCAAGTTAACTCTCAAAAGATGTTATCATTAAATTAGGTCCGTATGATATATTTTAAATCCATCCAACATATATTCTTTTTTTACAATCTCACAGTTTAAGTTTTGTTTAATATTTTGTCTTTATACTAATAGCAGATCGGATATAAGAAATAGAGATTTCACAGATTGAGTATCAAAAATATTTGATTGTTATATTACAGCCACACGAACCCATAACATGAAAATCTAAAACTAGATGTCATAATTTATAGAATTTATAGAGTATATCTTATATATTAAGAAATTGTTATCATATTTAATAATTTGAAAAAGAGAACAATTTTAGAAAGAGAACATTTTAATTGTTATCAGAAATTAATATAATTCAAACGTTTATAAATTTGTATTTAAAGTAAAGTTGATTATTTAAATTAATGATACCAAATCAATACTAATTCTTCCTCGATTCAAGTTGTTGCAAACAAAGAGAAGATCCTAAAGAATACTTCTTTAGTATTGTAGCAAGCAGTTTACTAAAGGAAACTAAATACTACGAAACATCAGATGCTTCAAGAGATAAATTAATAGCAACAATGAATAAGGTTGCAGATATTGACCCTGAGTTCATATTATAAGTAGCTTACTACGTTAGAAATCAAATGTATATCAGAAGTGTAAGTAATTTCATCCTTGCCTTTTCAACTCTCCATCCTAAAACTAAACCATTCTGCTCAACATACATTTGCCCAACTTTGTTAATACCTGGTGATTTAATTGAAGTCTGCTAATTTGTTCAAGTGATTTCATAATGTTAGAAATCAAACAACAAATTGGATAGAACTACCGATATTAGAAAAAAGCTATATTTCCCGAAATTATTGAGAAAACAGATCCAAAAGAAGCTTACTCAATTCAAAATATATCAACTTGGCAAACAATGTTCAGATGGTAGTAGAAAAAGGAATATTAAGAAATATCAGGAAGTTCTGAACCCTGATATCAAAAACAAGAGAAGAGAGAAAAGATTATTGAAATTAAAATTGATTAGAGATTAGATGAAGTTATAAGGACCAGATACTAAAAATCAATTTAAAAACTAAGCTATCTAGAAAACAAATAGAGTTGCGAAAAACAGAAGAAGACATACCAGAAATCCTAATCTTTTTGTATAAGAAACTTTAAATGTTTTTGATACAAATTTCATAAGTTTAAAAGATATCGTCACATTGAGTCATGTCAAAGAGCCTAGAAGTCTGGTTATGTCGATTTTAGGAGCTAAGTACCCAAAAACATTAGAAGAATTTGAAAAGGAATTTAAAGGAGAAAGAAAGATGAAATTTGAACCTGAGAAAGCAGGCACAAGAATGTAAATTCCGATTCCAATCACATGGGATAGAGAATTAAGTAAAGGATTAAATTCTAAGAGATAAATTTGGGAAGACTTAATTCAAAAAAATTAGATTCCTTACTTAGCTTTGTTAAGAAATTTAAGAAATATATTGAAATCAGGAGTGAGCGCAGAGGCACACTTGAAAGTAGTTGAGAAATTATCAAATTAGAAACAAGTAAAAAATTCGAAGATATTCCCACTCTAATTTTTTACAGCATTAAATGAAATTGACAAATTGAATGCCACTGAAAATCTCTAAAGTATGTATGTGAAGTAAAAGATAGCAACAAAAGAGCAAGCTAAACCTAAGGAAAAGTAAGTGAATATTGAAGAAGGATAGGTAGACGCATCCCCTTAAGTGATTCAATCTTATAAAGATGCTATTGAAAAAGCTATGTAAATAGCAGTTGATAAGAATTTAGAAACAATCTCAGGTGTTACTTATGTATTTGTTGATGTAAGTGGATCAATGTGTAGTTAAATTAGTGGAGGAAAGAAGTATGGATCAATTAATTAGTGCAAGGATTGCGCTTTTGGTTTATGACATATGATAAGAACAAAATGCGAAAAATGCGAGTTTTATTCTATTTGCTTTTCCTCATTATACTAGTGAACCCTACCGAAAGGTTGATTTCTAAAATG